TCAGACATACTGAGTCTTTTTGTCAGGAGTGAGTGCTACTGCTATCACAGCAGCTTTTAAGATACTCCAGACCGAAGATGTGGCCTGACAGGGAAAACCGAAGCAGCACGAAGATCAGGAGGTATAAAGAACACTGTACACATGCTTGCCGTTCCCCACACCCTCAAATTTTATAAGCCTTTGCTAATCACGAAAGATTTCTTATAAGCTTTTGTTCTGCTTTTTCAGTAAAGTTAAGGAGAATGTAATTTACTCTTTTTTTTTTTGGAACTGGGGATTGAACTTGGGACCTTGTGCTTGCGAGGCAGGCGGCGGCAGCACTGAGCTAAATCCCCAGCCCCATATATAATTTACTCTTTAATATCAGTATCGCACAAACTAAATGACACTTCATAATAATCTGAAAATAAACAATGCACCTCATAGTACCCACTTAAAGTACCTTCTCTTATTTCTATGCTGGAATCAGTGCACAACTTCCGTTTTCCTCATACTGAGAAGATGCTTTAAGCTGAGAAAGATCATCCAAAGACTACAGAGTTCACTCTTCCTGTGTAACAATGATTTATTACCTCCTTACTATCTGCCAGGCTCTGGGCTAATGTTTACAGTAAACAACAACACCAAACCATTTTTAACAGTAACATCTCCACCTCTTCAAGAGGAAAACTCATCTCAAAGGAGCACAGTACATGCCTCCTCCACCGCCCGGACCTCACACAGGACCGAGACTTCCGCGCGCCTTCCTGACCTTCCTCCTGCCAAGAGAACCAACAGGAACACGCACTTCAACCCCCTTTACACAAGAAGTACTTTACTACACGCTGTTTCCAACTCTGAGTTTTTAAAGTATAACAGCCTGTGTGGGAAAGCTTTCCAGATCCCCACCTGGAGGGGACCCGTGTGTGCCCTCCCTGTTGACAGCTGTCGAGTCATGGCACAGCTCGGTCCCTGGACAGCGGCACCTCACTGACACAGACGGAGCCATGGAGTCAAGTCCTGGATCGGCTGGTGTGTAAGTGCACAAGCATACCGGATGCAGTTCCCAGGACCCACACTGGGACAAGGGTGTGCGTCAGTGTCTCCAGAAGTTGCCATTTCCTCGGCACTTCCCCCTCGGCCACCTCTGCCACCTCCTGCACAGAATCACTCCCTTTCCTTGAGTCGGCTCCTAAGGCGGTTTAAAGATGACCTCACGGGAGTAAAGTACATGAAGCTCCTTGTTCATTTTTCCCAAATACATCTGTAAAATCTGCTGGTTTATTAGGTTTAAAAGCACACGAATTTTCAAATTTGACTCTTACCAACACAGTAAATACAGTGCTGGGACAGCAACTATTTTTCTTTCCATATCTCTTGGGCCTAAAATTAAACATATTCCCTATTCTAGATTTTTCTAAAAATTCACTTTAATACTTTATAATTAGATATGCAATCAAAAAAGGGTTTCACTTTCAAATGTTTTCCTGAAAATTTATGTTTGCATAAAAATAAATCTGTGTTACTTCTATATTTCCCTTATAATTTCAAATGTACTTTAATCTTTATGACCACCAATTTTACTAGGCAATGTCACCTAAAACATTTTTATTTCCATTCTTGCCCTAAAAAATAATTAGAAAATGAACACAGAAGTCTGTTGGACTTCCTATTTGAAAAAAAATCCTGAAGTGTTTTCAGTTTCAATTTCATTATAACTGGTTTATACGTAAACATATAAATGTTCATTTGTATTCCTCAAATAAGGACACACCAGTATGTATACAATCTATTTTGTATTTCAGTAATTTAAAAATCAGTTATGAGACCATCTCAATGCTCCAAAATGAAGAGAATAGACTAGCTGCTGACTCCAAAATACATTTTTAAAAACTGCTACATATTCTATGCTCCCAGTCAAGAGACAGGATGGAAGCCTTTCTTCAACTTTCACCGAAGCAGCTTTCACCCTAAGTCAGGAGAATACCCTGACAATACATTGACCGCAAAAGGCAAGAATTATCAAAGAAAGAGAAGACAAAACAAAACAAAAAACACATCACAGGTAGCACCTTGGGTAAAATCTTCTTAGCTTAAAACAATTTAGCAGAAAACAATCTGACAAGAGATAATGGTTCCTGACAAAAATCACTTTATTTTAATTATGTAAGATGATGGACATTCACCATGACAACACTGAGCCATTAAAAAAACAAACTCTGAAATGTATTCTGTTTGAGAAAACAGAGATGTGAATTTTATATTTTAGAAAAATATTCATATAAAACAAATTAGGCACATAAAAAGTAAGATTCCATTACCCAGAAAAATAACAGAGGACAAATGTACCATTTAACACCCCAGTCCGTGAGGAAATACCCAAAGGAAACTTTCTCCCTTAAAATTAGCGTATACTGATATGGCTGCTTCGGAAGGCGAGCTGGATGCAGTGCACTAACATCCTGGGGCTGTAAAGATACAACTCCTGGGCTAAGCCAGTTCTTGTTTAACAGCTGAAAGAGTATCTGTAATTTCTGAAAGGTCTTCAGGCAAACTTCCAGTGAAGTAACTGGAACACTTAAGAAAATATCCTGATCTCACTTTATTCACTCTGAATCAAGACTGCCAACTTGACAGGTGGGTCTGGTTCTGGCTCCAACTTGCCATCCGCCGGCAGGTCACTTGATCTCTTTAGTGCTGTTTCGCCATCAATGAAGTGGAGAGCTTGTCAGAAGCGCAAGCTGCTAGTGACCTGCTAGTGAATGGGACGAGTGTGCCAAAGAAAGGACACAGTTATCTCACAAGACCCTCTGCCACAATCTGTACTGCTCTACATCCATCCATCTGTAGTCTAAACCATCCCTGTTTACATGCTACTCTACCACATACTTAAAAGTCTGGAGTACTAAAAGAGATTATAATCACTTCAGAATCTTTCCCGACATTCAATATTAGGTACTGTCAAGATACTGTATAACAAACTGATTATGTAGTCATTTAAATGTACTTAAAATAGCACTGTATCCAATTATCTTGTGCTATTAAATATTTTCCTACCTGAAAATAGATAACTGGTCATTTGACAGATTAAAAAAAATGGCCTGTAACCAGGATATTTTTAAAAGAATATTCATAGCAACACCGTTTATAATAGCCAAACAGCAGACACAACCCAATTATCCACCAACTGTGGAATGACCGTGCAACTACATAGATGACTCTTTGAAATATAATGCTGAGGAAGAAAATACATAACAATTCCACAAAGGAACCAGAGACAAGATGCAAACATACAGCTCAGGAGCACAGATGAAAGTGATAAAATTATATAAATTATTACCACAGAAAGCAGAATATTGGTTATACTGAAGAAAAGGGCAAACTTCTGAGATGCCCATGATACTCTGAATGTTTACCATACAATTATTACATAATTACTCATTATATTACACATTTCTATATATTTTATAAGTACATTTTCTGAAATAGTAATATGTTCTTGTCCAGCACACAGAAATTTCTTCTCTTTTTGCTAATAATAATTTTATTTTCTTGCTCTATATTTGCTTTTATTGTAATATTTTAAAACAAAGAAATAAGTTACAGTGATTAATTCTCCAAACCCTAATTAAGAATGGATTTCATATGACTGGGTATGGTGGTGCAGTTAACCTCAGCTACTCATGAGGCTAGCAACTGGAGTACTAAAAGTTAGAGGCCAGCCTGGGCAACTTGGTAAGACTATGTCTCAAAATTAAAAGAAAAAAACAAAAAGGTGGCAGTGGTGGAACACTTGCCTACCATGCACAAGGCCCTGGGTTCAACTCCTAGGACTGCAAGCAAAGGGGAAAGAAACTACCACCACCACCAACAAAACCAGGCCTTTAAAGGTTACAAGATCAACTATCCCGCTTAATCTTAGCTTGTTTGCTCAATGTTATATCTGTAAGTTTTTCTTCTTTCCAAAAACATGTATATTTATGTATAATAAATTCTAAATTATATCCCAATAATGTTTTGTAGTCTGCTAGTTTAGCCTGAGGGTAGGAAGAAGGACATTTTTATCTCTCACACTTTAAAAAATTAATTCTGGTGCACTTGTGTATATACACAATATGAGAATCCATGGCAGGTCGGTCAGTGCACACTCAGTGTCACTCTGGGTCAAGGTATGGCTCACTGTATGTACTAGAAGACATGATCACTGGACTATGGGGTGGGCATACAAAATAAGTTAGATCTAAAGTCCACTGTATAGAATGTAATACGGGTTAATTCATTGAAAACAGATGCAACATGACCTAATTTCAATTTTACCGAGGCAGTTTTAAATATTTCCTTTGGAACAACAGAGTCGCAGGGAGACAAAAATGTCATCATTATAATAGTAAACTGAGTTCACTACCAAAACATACACAGAATGAGGGAATCCTAAAAGGCCCACCACCTACAAGTTCCTTCAGTGTGCATCTGCTGTACCTTTGTGTGTGTGTGTGGGGGGGGGTGCTGGGGATCTCAGGGCCTCATGTACGTTAGGCATGTGCTCTACCACTGAGTTACATCCCAGCCCCAGACCACAACTATTTACATGCCACCAAGTAGAAAGAGACGGTGAGATCTGGAACAAGACATCAGGACTATCAGCACTCTCAGTGGGCTCTTCACTATCAACACGATGGCATTGTACAGTACTATGACCAGTACTTCTGCTAGATACTGCTTTGCTGTGAATGTAGCCAAGGCTTCCTCTCCTTAATGGGTCAAGCTAACCAGTTCTTTGCTCATCCACTAAGTGCCAATCTTAGAAAATGACAGTGTGTCCAGAAGGGAGCAGCATCACAACAGCCATGAGTCCTAACTTGAGCATGAAATCAACAGAAGAAAAAGGACGTTAGGGGCCGGGGATTTAGCTCAGTGGTTCCGGAGCCTGCCTCACAAGCGCAAGGTCCCGAGTTCGATCCCCGGTACCAAAAAAAAAAAAAGAATAACCAGGCACTAAAAGGATGTAAAAGCTTACTTACCATAGGTCTGTTCCACAACACACTCAATTTTCAAGGGTGCCTTCAGGGCTTCCAGAAAAAAATCTAAAGCACACATGGGTCATCCATGGCTTCAGGACCCTAAGGCAGGAAATCAAAGTTATATCAGTAAAGACTTCTCTGGCCTAAGCTGAGCTGAATTAATATACACTAAGTGAATGTTTCTGTGTGTGCTGCTAAGACAAATCTTCCTCTTAGTGCGTCAACGGGATTCTGAACTTGCATATTCAATGATACTATATCAAAACAAAAAAGGGAAAAACTCCCATGAATTTTAAAGTCCTTTATCTACCACGGAATGTAAAAGAAAGAAACTGGGTGACATAACAGATAATAAAATCTCAATCTACCTAAAAAGAACTGTGGTCAAAGAATTAAAGAAGTTGATAGCAGTTCGGTTTGTGTTTACATGTGGTGTTTCAGCATCTACAACAAAAACCAAATTTCTGCTTTCAAAAGGTAACATATGAACACTCACCTTTATATCTTTACATAACTGCAGAAATCTTACATAACATATAATGTGACAATATAGTACATATTTATGTGAAATTTAATGAATAAAATGTAAGGTAATTCCTACAATTTTCTTCTAGCAAAGTGACACAAGCAGCTTGCCTTGAGTCAGTTTATCGGGACTAAAATGATGGTTATCACTAATCTGACCGACGCTGAAACAAAGCGCCATGCTTCGCTCTCCCTTTCAACAGGAAGCTATTTACCCCTCTCTTTCTCATCTTTTTCTTTCCTTAGAGTCTTCCTCTTATCCTATCTCTGGCCTTAGCTTTTGTAAATTCCACTTTTCTGATACTTCCTCCTTTCTACAAATCTTTTTTTTTTTTGGTACTGGGGATCGAACTCAGGTCCCTGTGCTTGCGCAGCAGGCAGTGAAACCGCTGAGCTAAATCCCCGGCCCCTCTACAAATCTTATTTTCTCTCTCTTTGGTAATGCCTTTCTACTTCAACTCCAATATCAGTTTTACTCGTATTCCTCCCTTTTTAATCCTACTGTTCTCCTTTATGTTTCCTATTTACTTAAAAGTGAGTTTTCTCCCTTAACAACCCACTTAAATACACCCTTTCATCTGTCCACAGTATTGTGTCTGACCTTAACAACCTCACCTGGCTGGAAGACTCAACTAAATATATTTCATACCACTTCTATTCATAAAAATATATGAGTTACTTCAGTATTTGAAAATCTAACTAAACATCTGAGAGTTGATCTTGAACCACTCAAAAAACTAAGACTCATTCTATTCAATTGGAGACTACCTCTATTAATAAGGAGGAGATTTCAGATCTCACTATGTTGATGTGAAAAAATGCTGAGGAACAAATTTCAGGTCAGCAGAAATTTCAGGTGAGCAATGTGCACAGTACATCTGCATGAACAGAATAGCCTCAGTACTCCTGACTTCCCACGTATACCATCCAGTCCGAGAAAAGTGACTTCCCCACTCAGCACTAATATAAATACAAACACTAAGTATATTACTATCTTGTGAAATAATCTCATAAAAATAATCACTCATAAGCTTTGACATTTTTAAAATTTATAGATTATATAACATATTTATATAAACAATATAATTTCCTAAAAATCGGACTGCAGTGGGTTGCATCCTCCCCTCTCCTGTATAAATCCACACTCACCTGGAACCTTAGAATGTGGCAATATTTGAATGGTCTTTGAGGATGTAAATAACACAGTCACGACAGGCCACGATCGGTAGTGGCACATGCATGACTGTTCCATTGGATGGCTTTTTATTAATTTTACTTGTAAAATTTTATTCCTAGATCTGTTTGTACCCAGTGGTACAAGCCACCCGATGGCATAGTTATGCATACAAGCTGGCTCAAGCCACTGGGCATGTGTTAAGAGAAGGGCCAGCATGAACTCACCTAGATTACAGAGGGCCTAAACCCAATGAGAACGTCCTTGCCTGAGACAGAAAGGACACAAAGGGACACAGCAAAGAGGCTAACGTGAAAATGGAGGCAGTTTGGAGTTCTGCTGCCAAGAGGGACGGAGCAATCAGAAATTGAAGAGGCAAGGAATGAGTCTTCTCTAGAGTCTGAACATGGGCCTGCTGACATCATGATTTCAGATTTCTGACTCCAAAACTATAAAAATAAAGTTCTCTTGTGTCAAGCAAGGAAGTTTGTGGTACTTGGCGTGGCAGTCCTAGGAGATGAACATAGACTATGGTAAAAGGAAGTGGGTGTTGCTCTGCCACCTGTATCTGAAAAGCCCTGCAACACCCTAAAAAGACCACTGGTAGAAATAGAGACGTGCAGACAACTCTGAGGGCTTGGAAAGAAGTGGAGAGCAACACAAAAAAAGTCCTATTGCCTTAGAGAACATACCGTCAAAAGCAGAATGCTGGAAGAAACAGAAACATTCAAGGGCTGATGGTGAGGTCATAAGTGTAAGAGGAGAAACAATCTTGGCTCTAGGGTGACAGAAAACCTGGCTGGAGTGTGCTCTACTGTGAGGAGGGATGAACAACTGGTAAGCAAGGGACCTGGACATGTAGCTGAGGAAGTTTCCAAGAAAGTGTTATAAACCCAGCCTGGTCTCTCCTTGCTCCTTACAGTAAAATATGAGACAAACAGATGAACCGAGGTAGCAAAAGGTAATCAGCATGTTATGATTTTGAAAATTCTCAGACTACGCAGATCATAACAGATGCTAAAGCATACCCTGGAGAAATGGACGAGGGAGTGGGGAGCCAGTCTACTCATCACAAGCTACTCTGGCACAGTGGTACATGCCTGTAACCCCAGCACTGGGAGGATGAGGCATGAGGATGAAGAATTCAAGCCCTCCTTGGATTACATAGGAAGTTCAAGGCTATCGCTTCTCGGCCTTTTGGCTAAGATGAAGTGTAGGAAGTTCAAGGCTACCCTGGAATACATAACATGACCTTGCCTCAAAAAAACAAAAAACAAAAAACAAAAAAAAGAGGAGGGAGAAGAGTAGAAAGGAAAAAGGAAGAGAGTGGGCGGGGGAGGAAAAGAAGGATAAGGAGAAGGAAGAGAGGGAACGGGAAAGAGATGAGGTATGTGATTCATGGGCTCCATCAATCATCTCAGCAGAAGCCAAGAGCTCAGATGAAGTTACACAGGAAGGAGAGTGAATAACCCGGATTCCACAGATTCTCACGACACCTGAGAGACCCACAAGGGCTTTGAAAATGCTGCATCAGCAGAAACAGCGCCATCGTGTACTGAAGGACACCGAGGCTGGGTTAAATGAAAGGTTGCCAAAGTGTGGTATTATTTGGAAATACAGTCTCTGTAGATACAGTTAAGGATCAGGATGAAACTCTACTGGGGTAGTTGTGCCCTGCATCTAATGAGAACAGAGAAGGGCACACTGAGTCACAAAGAGGAGAGCAGTACAAGCATGGAACATAGTGAGACTGCAGGAAGGCACCCGACGCAAGGGTCCCCCAGGAGATATGCAAGAGGCATGCAGCAGTCTCTCCCGAAAAGCCTGAGAAAGGCATGGGACAGTCTCTTCTGCAGAGCCTCCAGAAAGAATGAACTCTACTGACATCTAAATTTGAGACTTCTGATTGCCATAACTGCAGGAAAAATATTCTGTTGTTTTAAGCCTCCATGTTTATGGTGATTCTATTATGACAGCAACCCTAGAAAACTAATACTGTAGACAGATCTAACTTCATTCATCATCATTTCTGGAATTAAATGAAATTATAGCTGTAAGATATAACACAAGAGAAAGACCATGCAATTGTGTGCATAAATTGTGTTCATGAAAAATGTCTGCACACCTCCCAACAAAGTAAAGCCCTGTATCAGTTACTTCACTGGTGAATTCTACCAAATAAGTAGAAAAGAATCATCACCAGTCCTTCTCAAAGTCTTCCAAAGCATTCAAGAGGTGGAAACACAAGCCAACTCATGCTATGAGGCTACATTATCAAATACTAAAGTTAACAAAGACACTACAAGAAAAAACTACAAACCAACATCCCTCATGACTACTGATGCAAAATACCAGCAAACCAGATTCAGCAGCATATTAAAAGGATTATACATCATAACCAAGCAGGATTTACTCAACATATGAAAGTCAATCAATACCATATGAAAAGTCCCAGGCCTCTCAACAGATGCAGAAGAGGAACTTGACAAAATTCAATTCATTTGACTCCTTGGGTCAAGGTACCTTTCATGAAAAAAAAATCACTCAACAATGTAAGAATAAAGTGAAACTTGCTCAAGTATAATAAGCAATACATGAAAACTCCACAGTTAATACATACTCCATGGTAAAAACCCGAAAACTTTTCCAAGATGAGGAACAAGGCAAAGATGTCCACTTTTGCTTGTTATACTCAATATAACATTGAACATTTATAGCCAGAGCAATTAGGCAAGAAAAGGAAATAAAAGGCATCCAAATCGGAAAGAAAAAAGTGAAATTATCTCTGTTTGCAGATCTTATACATCTTATATAGAAAACCCTAAAGAAGCACAAAACTATTAAAACAATTAATGCAACTAATCAGCAGGACATAAAGTCAATACGCAAAATCAGTTATGTTTTTACACACCAACAATGAACAATCTAAAAACGAAGTTAAAAAACAAAGACTTTTGTCATAGCATTAAAAAATGACATACAGTAGTAAGGGAAAAACAAAGTGAAAGCCTAGTATGTTGAAAACTACAAAATATTGCAGAAAGAAATTTTAAAAGACATAAATAAATGGAAAGCCATCTTTCTCAAAAACTGGAAGACTTAACATTAAGGTGGTAACACTACCCAAAGGTGACAGAGAAGTTCAATGTAACGTCTATCAAATCCCAAAGATATGTTTTTTGCAAAATAGAAAACATAATTGTAATATTCAAAAGAATTGTCAAGGAACCTGAATGCTCAAAATACTCTTAAGAAGGGCTGGGGATTTAGCTCAGTGGTTCTGCCACCTGCCTCGCAAGCTCAAGTTTGAGCCCCAGTATCAGAAAATAAATTAAAAAATAAAAAATACTCTTAAGAAAGTTGTAGGATCTACACTTCTTGATTTTAAAATTTAGTACAA